AGGGGGGGCGCCGGGAGGGGGGAGGCGGAAGAGGACAGAAAGAGGGGGCAGAGGGGAGACGGCAGGGAGGGGAAAGAACGGGAGCGAGGGAAGCAAGGGGCCCGGGAGGGAGGGAGGAAGGCGGGGGGCGGAGCGAGGAGGGGGGAAGGCGAGGCAAGGGGGCGGGAGAAGGAGCAGGCCGGGAGGAGGGAGGACCGGACGGGAGAAGAGGGCCGAGAAGCGCGGAAGGAGAGGGGCAGGGAGGAGAGAGGGGAGGAGCAGGAGGGAAAAGAGGAGACAAGAAGAGAGGGCGAGGAGCGCGAGGGAGGAAGAAGGAAGGGAAGGGGAGCGCGGGAGGGAGGGGGAGCAGGGAAGGAGGGGGGGGAGACGGGAGGGCAGGGGAAGCGGGACGCAGCGAGGCAGGAGAGGCGGAGGGAGAAAACGCGGGAGGAGAGGCCGGGACGGGGGAGGAGGGGCGGGAGAAAGGAAAGGGGCAGGAGGAAAGAGGGGAGAGAGAGGGGGAGGGGCAGAGACGGGGAGAGGGAGCCAGGAGAGAAAGAGGAGCCGGGCAAAAGAGGGCCGGGGGAGAGGGACAGAGAAGGGAAAAAGAGGAGGGGGAAGGGCACAGGGCAAACGGGCAGGAGGGGGGGGGGGGGAAGGGGGGAGGGGACAACAGCGCGGAAACAAGAACCAGGGCAACCAAACGGCGCAGAAGGAAGGGAGGGGGACGGGCAGGGCAACAGGAAGGCAAGGAAAAGGCGAGGGGCGGGACAAACCAAAAAAGGAAAAGGAGGACAGGCGGCGGGGCGCAAGGCCGAAGCGGGAAGGGGACGGGAGAGGGACGGCGACCAGAGGGCAGGAGGGGACCAGAGGACAAGAAGGACGCACACCCGGCGGGGGCCGGGAGGGACGGAGAGGAGAGAAGGGAAACGGGAAAGGGGGCGGAAGCGGAAGAGGGGGGGGGACAACCGGGAACGGGGCACAGGAGGCAGCGGAGAGAGAAGGGAAGGGAAGAAGGAGCAGGGAACACGCCGGACGGGAGCCGGGGGCTAGGGCCAAGAACAGACGAGAGGGGCAGCACAGAGGCGGCGCGGGGAAAAAGAGAAAGCGGGGGCGAGAGACAGCGAGCAAGGGAAAGGAAAAAAAGAGGGAAAGAAGGAAAAGCACACGAAGACAGGGGGAGGGACGGGACAGGGAGAGGCCAGAGGAGAGGGAAAAAAGAGAACAAGGAAAGGGGCCACGCGGCCAAAAAGGACGGGCAGGGAAACAGAAAAGAAAAACAAAAAAGGAGAGGGGGAGAAAGGCCAGAGCCGGGAGGACCCGAGGGAACGAGGCGAGGAGAAAGAGACAGAGGGCAAGGGAAGGAGGGGAGAGGGAGGGGCGGGAGGAGGCAGCGGAAGCAAGGGGAAAGAAGGGGAAGGAAAAAGAAAGGGGAGGCGGGCCAGGAAAGAAGGGGACAAGGACAAGAGAAGAAGGCAAGACAGGACCGGGAAAGACAGGACACGGCGGGCAGAGAGACGAGCCACAAAGGAAGGGAGGGAGGGAGAAGGGGAAGCGGGAGGGAAAGAAACAGGGCGGAGTGGGGAGAGAGCAACAGGGAAAGCCAACAGGGACGGGGGAAGCCAGGAAGGAGAAGAAAGCAACAGACACGCGACAACGGCCGGAGAACGGGCGGGACGGGACGGGGGGGCCGAGCAGGGGACGGCCCAAAAGCACAAGGACACAGAAAAGAAGAAGGGAGAAACGGAAAGGACAAACGGGACCAGAACACAGGGCAGGCCGGGAGGGCGGAAACGGAAGAGGGCAAGAGGAGACGACCAGAACGAAAGGGGCGGGGGAAGGCAAGGCAGAGAGGGGCGGACCGCCGGAGGGGAAAGAGGGCCGGCCAGGGAAGAGAAACAGCGACAGGGGAAGGGCAAAGACGGGGAGGAAAGGGGCGCAGAGCGGCGGCAAGGAGAAGGCGCAAAGAAAGAAGGGAACGGGAAGGGAGCGGAAAAGGAGGGGAAGGGAAGGGCCAGGGAGGGCCGAGGGGCGGAGGAGCAAGGGCCGAGGGGGCGGGAACAGCCGACAAAGGCGGAAAAAGAGGGAGACCACGGGGCGGAGGGGCGCGGGGAACAGAAAAAAAAGGAGAAAGCGCGGGCAAGGGAGGAGGGCAAGAGGCGGGACAAGAACACAAAGAGACCGGACGAACAAGAGGAGAAAGGGCGGGAAAACGGCGAGGGGCAAGGGAAACGGGAGGAAGCAGGAAAGGACAAAAGAGGAGGACGGAAAGAGAGAGAGAGAGAGGCAGGCCGAGGAGGGAGCGGGAGAGGAAAGAAGGAAAAGGGAGGAGGCAGGGACAAGGAGGGCGAGAAAGGGGGCAAACAGAGGAGAGGGACGGGAAGAGGGACGAAGAAGGGACAGGGACAAGGAAGGGGAGAGGAAAAGGGGGAGGAGGGGGAGAAAGGGGACAGCAAAAAAAAGGGCCAGAAAAGGGGACACGCGGGCAGAGGAGACGCAATAAAGAGGGAGGAGAGGGGGAGAGGACGGGCCCACGGCAAGGGAAAAGGAGGGGAGAGAAAAAAGGGAACAAGAAAAAGGGAGGAGGGAAGAGGGGCGAGACGGCAGAGCAGACGAGGGAGGGCAGGGCGGGGGGAACAGAGGGACAAGGGGCAAATGGGAAACGGAAACAGGGAGGAGAGATCAGGGGGAAGAGGGAAAAAGGCGACCAGAGGACAAGAGGAGAGGAGAAGAAGGAAATGAGGAGAAGCAGAAAGGAGGGGGAGGGGAGGGAGAGACCGAGGGAAGGGAAGAAGAGGAGGAGGGAGGCAGGAAGGAAAAGAGAAGCAGAGAGGAGGGGGAGAAGGAGAGAGAGAGATGAGGGAGAGAACAGAGAGGAGGAGGAGAAGAGGAGGAAGAGGAGGAAAGAAGAGAAGGGGAGAAGACAGAGAGTCAGGGAGAGAGAAGGAAGGAGAAGAGAAGAGAGGAGGAAGAGAGGAGAGAAGGGGGAGAGGGGAGGAGGGAAAGAGGAGAAGGCAGGGGAGGGGGGGAGGAGGGGGACAGAGCGGAAGAGAGGGGAGAAGGGAGCAGAGGGGAGGGAGAAGGAGAGAGAGCAATAGAGGAGAAGGATCAAGGTATAGGGAGAGGGGAGGGGGAGGGGAGGAGAGATCAGGTGAGAGGAGGAGAATGGACAGAGAGGAGAAGGGAGAAGGGAGTCAGATGAGAGATGAAGGAAGAGGGGAGAGGAAGAAGGGAGATGGGGATGAGGGGGAGGGAAGGAGGGGCCAAGAAGGAGAGGGAAAAGGAAAGGAAAGGAGGGGCAGGACGGACAAAGGGCGAGAGGGGAGGAGGGCAGAGAAGGGAGGAGGACCGGGGCGGAAGGGAGGCCGGAGAGAAAGGGCAAAGGGAGCGAGGGGGACAGAAAGGAGGAGGAGACAGGGCAGAAAGGGGACGGGCAAGGCAGGGAGAAAAGGAGAGAAGGGAAGGGGGGGCGAGGAGGAGGGGCACGAGGGGAAGGGGGGGAGGCAAAAGGGCAAAGAGGGAGAGAAAAGGGAGGGGAGAAAGGGAAGAAAACGGGGACGGGGGAGAAGACAGGCAGGCAAGGAGAGGGGGCCCAGGAAGGGCAGAGGAAAGGGAAAGGGGGAAAAGGGGAAGAGAAGGGAGGGAGCGAAAGAGGAAAGGGAAAGGAGGCGGGAGAAAGGGGAAAGGGAACAGAGGAGGGGGAAGGAGGAGGAAAAAGGAGAGGCGGAGAAGAACGGGGAGAGAGGGGAAAAGCAAAGGAGAGGGGGCGGAGGGGGGAACAAGGGGAGGGGCAGGCGAGGGAACAAGAAGGGGAAGAGAGGGGAGGCAGGGAAGCGGGAGAGAGAAACAAGAGGGGAGGGGAAAGGACAGAGGGCGGAAAGGGAAAGAGAGGGAAAGAGGACAAAG